CCTCCAAATTGTTATAAATTTGAAATTAAGGAGGGCTCTCAGGCAAAGATATAGGAGCAGGAATAACAGTACTTTATTAGGGAAGAAAATAAAAAATAACATAAACAGTGCAGTAATACAAAACAACACTGACAGAGTCAGAATACAACCTGACACCCTGTTGGTCAGGATGTTGCTAGCAGTCCAATTGGAATGGTGGCGGCAGTCCTCCTGGAGTGGCACATGTGGTTCTGTTGGAGCAGTGATCCTGTAGAAGGGTGTAGTTTTCCTCTGAAGGTCTGGCAGTGGTGTAGATGGGCCTGGTCTTCCTCTGGGAATCCACTGGGAAAGGCTGCTCTAGTATCCCAAAATCTATGATTATATCCAGTTAGGAATGCTTGGCTCCTCCCTCTGGGTGGAGCTTCTCAAAATGGGATGATAGTATTTTGTCAGTCATGCAGTGAGACTCAAAGGCCCATTAACAGAAGATATCTCCCCTGAGGGAGGATTGGTTGTGGAAGAGATAAAGAAAACTGCCCAATTAACAGAAGATAACTGCCCCACCTCCAACAGATAGGAATAGAATACAGACCCCCATTTCCAACCTAAGACAGACAGGACAAGGGGGAATGGCTTCAAACTGGAAAAAAGTTAGGTTTAGATTATATATTAGGAAGAAATTCTTTAATGTGAGGGTGGTGAGGCACTGGAACAAATTGCCTAGGGATGTCATGGATGCCCCATCCCTTGAAGTGTCCAGAATCATATTGTATGGGACTTCAGGCAACCTGGGCTAATGGAAAGTGTCCCTGCTCATAGCAGGGTGGTTGGAATGAGATGATCTTTAAGGTCTCCTCCAGCCCAAACTGTTCTATGATTCTAGGAGTCTGAGGTACCTGATGTGATCCTACCTGTTAAAACCTCTCTGTGTCCAAATGAAATCACACTTGTCTACAACCTCTGTAGAGCCCACTTCTCCCTGTTTTGTCACTCACTTTTTCTCCTGCTTATGGCTTGGTATATGGAAATATGATATTTATCTTTTGACAGATAATGTTTAATTTTGCCTTCAGCTTGTGTTTATTTCATACTGGTTTTGTTAATATTGCCATACTTAAGATATATATTCTCTCCCTAGGGCATTTTCTGTATCTGCTTTCCAAGTAATATTGTGTATGTAATCTTACTGAATAGCAATTATATCCACCAATGAAAATTTATGACTCTGTAGAGTTGCTGCCTTGTAACTACACATTTCATTCTTTATTATGAGACTTTGGGCAATATAACTGGCAGCTGGAGCGCAGGAATTTTGAAGTGTCAGGACTGTGAGAAATAACCTGTGGAGCTCGGGTTGGCTTGTTTTGGTGACTGCTGCAGAATTACAGAATAACAAAAGATTAAGGAGGTGAACACAGAGTGTCCAGATGGTGCATAGGTAAATTGGTTATTTTTAGCAAAGTTCAGAAATGTGTAGCACAAAGAACAGTTTCAAGGATTACAAGAACATATTTCATAATACCAAAGTATTATTTAGCCAGAGAGGAGCTGGGTGACTGGACATGGGTTTATGGGTGGGTTTTGAAGTAGGAGACAGCTTAGGCACTGCCATGTGGCACCTGGCCATTGTTGGAAGTGCCTCCAGGGTGGTTCTCTGTGCTTTCCCTCTAGACTGTCCTCTGGATGATAGACATTTACACAGCTTAGTGGTTACTAAAAGATTTAGTTCAACTTTCAGTTCATCAAATGATGTCTTTCAATTTCTTCTAAGTCACATGAAGTCACATTTTAGACAAGTGTGCTTTTGTCAGAAGCAGACATTTGGCTCACAAAAATTAGTCTGGTAGTTTCTCTTTGCCTTGTAGGTTTTGTAGGTTCTCAGACTTTCATGCAGTTGAGTGTTCTCGCTTGGCCTTAAACTCTAATATTAAAATGCTCCAAATTAGATTATCTTTTTTTCTTTTAAGAGATAGAAATGTTCAGTTAAACTGGCTTTTATGAGGCTGTATGTAGGTGTGCATTCAAGAAGGTTTTTTACAAGGGGCCAATAGCACACAGATATGGTAAATGCTATGTTAAGACATGAATTAAAGCACATAAGGGGATCAGAGAGCTGTGCTGGGACTTTTCCAGCAGGACAGACTGGCCTGTATTGGTTCCCAAAGAGTTCCCCATGTAAAATTAATCTGCAAGGATATTAGCATACGAATATTGCAGCTTATGAACCGATACTCTGGCTGAATAACTCTCCATGACTAATTCCAACACATTGCATGGTTTTTGATACTTGTATTAAAAAACCCTACTTCTGAAATATGATTTTATCAAATAGTTGGTGTATTATTAGACTGGTGAAGTCAGTTACACACTCCAAACATAATAGTATGTAAATTAAACTAAAAGTTAATTTTGCATTTTCCCTGAGCAATGAAACGATGTCCTGATGGATATTGCATTTTAATGTTCTTTTGGTTGATCATATTATATTTTCTTTCTCCTGTTATTTCCCATAAACAGTATCATTTCATACTGCTGACAGCCTATATACTAAATACCACAGTGAAACAATGGGAACTGTGTTGTGCTCTATATACTGACAAATCTCTGCTTAATGTGCACTCAATAAAGATAAAATAGCAAATTTTATTAAACCAGGGGAAAAACACAATGAAAGTTATTAATATGGTTTTTTCTGTTGTGTTATACATGTGCCACTTTTTTTTTTCTTTTCTTTAAAAATACAATTTGGTTAAAATAAGACAGCAAGGAAAAACTACATCATAAAAGTACAATAGCAATGAAGATATTTGTTTCAGTGCAGCCTCAAAAGATGAGAGAGCCCATTTCTTTTTTTGGGCAGTGGGAGAGAGTATTAAATGCTGTTCTCTCTTTTCAATTAAACAGCAGCATTAAATATAAAATAAAAGTTTAAGAATTAATAATATTTCCTTCCTCAGCCAAATTTCCTCACAGATTTTAAAAGTATTATACCCAGAGGAGGAGTTTAAAAAATGACTCGCTGGTTTTTATACTTCCATTTCACAGAACTGCAATATTGTCCTTCATCATGAGCTGCATAAGGAATCAAACTTGAAAAACCACTCAAGGGCCCTTTACCTACCTTACCTACCTACCTTTGTCCACATTGTCTCACAGGAGTGTTGGTCAGGATGGAAAGTGCCTGTCCTTTGTCAGTGGATGGTTTGTGTTTGAGGAGCCTCAGCTGGTTGCCTGTTTTTTGCTCATGCTGTAGAGCTGTGTAATGACTTCAGTGCTGTTTCCATCCTTGGGGCTGGAAAGGTCCAAACACAGAAGCTGCTCCCAGAGAAGCATCACCTGCCTGTGCTCCTGGTGCCCATGAGAGCCAAATGGCGCCTCTGTAGAGGCTTTGTTGGAAGAGTGCTAGCTAGGGTGTTTCCCTCCAGGACAGCAGTTCTTCCACCTGTGTCTGGCTCAGGGCTTCCCATTCTCAGCTCCTATCCTGCCTTTCCCACCTCTCCCAGCTGTAGCCAGTGACCACGGGCTGCCTTTTGCCCTGACTGCTGCTGTCGGAGCTGGTGGAAGTTGTGGCTGTTGTTCCATGCTTTAGCTCCATCTCAGGATCTGCCTGAGCTTTTGGGGCCAAGCTACTGGTGGCCATGGTGAGCATGTGTCCTGCTGGAGGGAAAGCTGCTGTCCCCTTGCTGGCAGAAGCTGTGCCACAGTGCTGGGCAGGGGCCTAGCTTTGTCCTGCCATGGGCAGTGTGCTCTCTCCCTCCAAAGCCCTGCATTCCTGCGGAGAGCTGAGCAGCTGTTGGGAACTGAGCAGGACAGACCTCCATAAGTGTTTTGACCCCTGAGTGCTTGTGTGTGCTGCTTCATACTGCTTGGGAGAAACTTCCTAGGATTCATCTTTTTTAAATAAGTAAAAACCTAAAAAAACCTGTACAGCTAATAAGTTGACCCTTATTTTTTTTTGACCCTTGGTTTTGTCCATGCACCTTAAACACTTGACTGACTTCAAGCCATCATTAAGAATTCTGCTTCTGCTAGGTACTCTAAGTGAGGAAATCTTAAGGCAGGAGAGGACTCTTCTCTTTTGAAAATAAGTGGTGGATGTCTGGATTGGTTTTATTATTAGCCCTGCCTCACAGCTTTACCCACTGGATCACTGCTAGAGTGACATAATATATAATATTATATATTTCCAAATGTCGAGACGTCTCATTTAAAGCTTAACTCAATTTTAAATCCATGTGGAAAGGGAAGACCTTTAAAATACTTAATAAATTCTAATCTTAATCATATTCATCATTATTAAAATTTGAAAAAGGTTGAAATACTTAAGGTAAGTGAAATAAGAAAACTAATAAAGAGCATGAAACACACTGGAGAAATGGAAGAATAATTACTAAACGTTAAGAAATCTAAAATGGCCAAACATGAAAAAGCCTTCATTTCCAATAAGCATTTATTTAAAAGTTTCGCAATAACTTAATAATATAAAAGGAGATTTTAAAAATTAATTGAATGTTAAGTGCAGTAGAGTGGAGAGACATGATTAAATACATTAAAACTTCTACTTGTCCTGTCTTTGGTCTTCAGAAACAATTTAGGTCTTGTCAGTTCTTGAGAGAGTTGCATCACCTGTCAGCAAGGAGACATCACTATCAGTGTTGCTGTTAATAATAATTATTAGCATTGTGGCAATAGTAGTTTTCATAATGAGTAGTGCCTGGAAGTGGCAAGGTACTATGGCCGAAGACACCAGCTTGCTCAGTTTCGTACAGGCCAAACAAAAGATTTTTCTCTTCCAAGGATTGTGTAATCTAAGCATGAAAGGAAGGACCTCTTTGGTTTTGATTGAAAATTATAGACAGGTAATCAAAATGTTTGCCTTCTATTGTTTCATCCGTTTTTGAAATTTTCTGCTAGTGCATGAAAAGTGGTATTTAGATGGTGCACTTGACAATGTAATCTGTGTGAGAAAATGGCATTGAATATTTTAAAAATTGAAACTAGTAATTGTATTTGTATTTTAGGGATTACTTACCTTGACCATGCTGGTTCAGCACTTTTCCCAGAGAGTCTACTTAAAGCTTTTACTGATGACCTCAGAAACAACGTTTATGGTAAGTGCAAAGCAACATTCCCATGAGTCTTCTCAACTTTCCATCTAAATCATTCAAAGCTGAGCTTCTTGGAAGAGACCTTCTGCAGGTTTTTAATGCTGTTAGAGAGTAGTTGGAAGACCAGTGCTTTTACAAAGGAGGCATAGTCCCTTAGTGTCACCCCTGGCTTCATTCTCTGGTGGCCAAGGACCTGTCTATGTTGGTAAAGAAGAAAGATCAAAGCAAACATGGCTCTGTTGCATGACTCTGTTAGGGCACCAGGCTTGGGATAAAGAAATACATTTTAACTATAAGCACTGTTCATTCTTTGTGGGTTTTTTCCACACAAAAATGCAAACCTAGTTTCTTATGCAAGGACCAGAATCCAGAACCAACCTCCTTCTCAGAGTCATCACAAAGAGCTTATACTGTGACTCAGTATAAGAATTTTATTCAGAAGGAAGCACAGCTCAAAGATCCCAAGCGAATTTAGACACAGAATAGGTGCTATTAGACTTTGCTCTGACTGTTAGACTTTGGTGCCTACTCAGAAAAAGGATTGCTGAAGCAATCCTGTGCAGAGGAATATGAGTAAAAGTATCTGCAGAATTGCATAATATCTGGATGGAGATTTGACTATTACAGCACAACCTGTAAGAACTTCATCCCCAGATCCTCTGCCTAAACCTTTCATTTCTTTCTGTGTTATTATCTAGCCTAGAATCTCACACTGGATGTGATTTTATACAAAGTCAGCAGCATCCATTGTATAAGAAATATTGATACTGTGTGAGACAATTTACATTAAAGTGAATCATGCTCAACCAGAAAAAAAATTTACTGCACAGTATTATGCTGTGAGAAGTCCCACTGAAGTAATCAAATTTCCTATGGTATGTTGCTATCTGTGGGTCATGTGTCCTTTTTGCTAGTTTTGTATGTTTCTTGTGCTCCCTGATACACGGAACAAAGGGATTCCTCACTTGGGAATTAGGTACCAGTGCTTTACAAGAAAATGCTTGTTCACTTCAGCAGTGGCACACATGTGCTTGTCACCTGGGCAAGCCACTTGAGGGTTTTGAGTAGTTTTCATTCTCCATGTGCCATTATGTCATTTCCCCCTATTCTTTTTCCTGAATGCTGGCAAGGCTGGGATCCAGAGCATAAATTTGAGTTCCACTACAAAATAAGTGTTATTCTTTATATAGATAGGGGCTTTTTTTTCCTGTTATAGCAAAATACATCGTTTTGATTACATTCAAGATCTCCTAATCAAGTGCATGCCAGTGATACAAAAATTAAGGTTCTGTCACCACAGACATTGTAAAGTGAAATGTCTGCATTCTGATCTTAGTTATTTCAAACATTGGGCTCAACCCTTTTAATAACTACCATCTGTGGTAGAAAAAAAAATTGTGAATCAACTGAGTGCTTGTGAATAGAAATAGTAGTATTGCCAGTTTGGAGCAGATTTGCATAGTACTTATAATGCTATAGGTGAACAAATTGTTTGTTTTTATTGGAACTTTCATCTAAAATGTTATCAAGAGCTCTAGCATGGTCATTTTTTTTTCCAGTTACATCTCATACTCTAAGGACAGTAAATGCTGTCCTTAGGGTTAGGGTTAGGGTTAAGAGTATGGGAAGAGTTAAGAGTTAATTTAACAAACACAGATGTGAATGAAGGGGGGAGTTTGACTTGCAGCTTTTTCATTTTCTTGGTGACAATCCACAGGCCCAAAGAACTGCAGTTTAGCTGTTGCATGTGTAAATGAGGGAAAGTAATATAACTAAGAGATAGTCCCACTTCTTATTTGAAAATATTTGAATTGGAAATTACAGAAATGCAACATCAGACATAAAAAGTCTAAATTTTGGGTTTGAGCTCTAAAGTTATGATTTCCAACACCTTCACCCAACAACTTTCAGCAGTGAAACTTTTAAATTTTGAAGAGTAGCTAATATTGGAGCCTACTGCAAAAAGTGTGTTAGTTTAGCAATTTTTTCCTTATTCCCTTTCCAAACTGTTTTTACATGTTCTCTAAGTATTTGCTAATAGGAAAGTGTGCTATGTCTGGATATTTCTGTCATCTTTTTTGCTCAAGAAGATAAAATCATGCTGTCTTAATTGTTATATATGCTTGTGCTGAGCTGGGCTAAGGTGGCTACTAATTTTGCAATAAAATTTATATTTCAATGAATTATTTGAATTTCAGACACTAAAAAACCAAGGATTAATTCTTCTATCCAGTCATGATTGTCTGTTATCCCCAGATCCTGTCTTTTGCTTCTTACCTACTGCACAAATAGGTTTATGAATGTGCATTTGGGCTGTAGTTTTTCTAGTATGTTTGTGCATATGCAGTTTCATTTTCTCTTTAGGGGAACTGCCTAAATATTAGTAAGAGATCCAGCTGAAATTTCTAGGTCTGTCATAATTGCTTTGTCCTGTTGTATGTCCCTTCTCTTGCCTGAGGGGCTACAGGGAATTGCTGTGAAGTACGCATTGAATCTTTATCATCTTTTAGGCTCTCTTGGTGTAATACTTTGATAAAAGAGAAATTTAATAGCAAAATTGTGATTAATGATTCATTTCTGTATCTCTATTGTCTCCTAGGCAACCCTCATAGTCAGAATATCAGCAGCAAGCTGACATATGACACAATCGAGCATGTTCGATACAGGTAGAATAATCTTTATTTCAGATGTTGTATGATGCACTTGACAGTTTTCATTTTGGTTAAGCCTGCACTGTTTTGAGGACTTTAATGTGATACCATTTTCTAAGGGTCATCTGTAATGCCTAAAGGAAACACCTCACTTCTAAAACACAAGGTATTTGGATATGATCCAATCAAGTCTTGGATCATATAAATTCTTTTTCTCCCAGATGCCCAAATCCTCAAAGTCCTGTAGTTAATTTAGTGCTGTAATACAAGTCCACAGTTTTAATTAAGATGTAGGACTTGGAATTTCAGAAGTGATTATTAGTAAGATGGTATGCTGATATAGTAAGGTGGGACTAGGTGCAAAGACATGTTAAAATTCAGATAAAATTAAATAGGGTGTAATGGCTTGTGAGAATTTGCAAAGAGCTTATGGGAATGTGTACATTGTTTTACAGCAGGTACTTACTTCCATTGGAGTAATAAAATACCTTTTAAAGTAGTTTTAGTATAACTTTTAAGAGTAGAAAGAAAAAAAAGGTAAAATTGAGGGGTATGGGCCCCTGGGTATGGGCAAGAAAATAAACTGATTCTCTAAACAAAGTATTCCTTTGAAAGCTCAGGATGAAGTATGCTGAAGGTACACATCTTGCAATTGATTTGTCATGATTTAAACCATGATGAAATATACCACTCAGGCACTTGGTTATTGGTTTTAGGCATTTGTTTCAGAAAACTCTTGCTATTTTATAAAATGCATTTTTATCACAGAATATGGATGCTTTGAGTTTATTTCCCTGCTTTTAATGACACACTTAAGGCAAGTAAAGAATGTAATGGATTTCTATTTTATCTTTTTCCTTGAAAGTAAATATTTCTCCAAAACACATCATAGAATTCACATCCATAGCATTGTAGTGTTCATAGTTGTAATGAAGAAACTCTGTTTTATACGTTTCTGCTGCATTTTCTCTGACTGTTTTTATGGGAGTGTAAAAAAACAAGAATTTCTGGTTGGATGCTGCTGCTGGCTACAATCTGTTTCCCCTTTCCCATCACCAGCTTTCTGGAGAAAACATTTCTTTTTGCTTCTGCCACAGCCCTCTCTTGATGCTGTGCAGGATGACAACCTATTAATGTATGGCCAAATGAAATGAAAGAGACTACCCATGAGGAGTAGCTGTCTTCATAAGCACAACTTATAGCCAGTTACAGCAAAACTCACAGTCTGCAGAGTCTTTTGATCAGACCTGTGTGCTCACATGCAGAGTTAGCATTCTGATTTCCATTTACTGAGTGCTCTTGCAATGTTGCTGTTTCACAGTTCTGCTTATGAAGGCACAGTAAGAAGTGCAATTGTTTTTAGAATAATTACTATTGTGCTGTGTGTTCTTTGTTGTTAGGGAGTAAGGAAATAGGCTTTCACTGTGTAAAAACCTAGATCACTTGAAAAGAACTTAGATCTTCAGCATGTTTTATTTTGGATGCTTCTTTAAAAGAGCTTGAGACTTTTTAAGGGTGGAATGGGAGATGACAAGAACATACCAATGTTAGTATTGGGGGGGTTTTTTGTGTGTTTTGTTTTTTTAAAAATGCCCTCTGCATCTGAATGAACATTTTTTGGTATTACACCTGATAAAATTTTTCATCTGTCCCTAAAGAAATGCAGCCATTTTTAAACTCCCAATAAAAAATTTAAAAGCATAGTTGTCAAAAAGGCATAGTAATAAAAATTCAGGAATAAAATGCCCCAAACCTACTGTCAATACGTCAGCTATCCAAAATGCAATAAAAGTATATTAAAAATCTATATCTCTATGCCATTGCAGCTAATCAAAATAAGCAGTCTGACAAGACAGGGAGACAGGCAGCTCAGTCCTGCATCATAGTGCATAGATTGGACTTCCTCAGTGAAATTCAGCAGGTAGTTTTAGAAATCTTAAAATTAGTTGCTAGCTTGTAATTTGGCTTTTGGCACATGTTGCAGACCAAAGTATAGCTTTTTTTCAGTGTTTGACTCCAAGACAATGCTATTTTATTTTTTTAAATTATTTTTTTTAAATTTGATTTTCCAAAGTGATTGCACAATCAGCTAATTAAAAATTAACACCAAACCTAATTTCAGATTTATATTTGCTGATATGGGTAACAGCAGCATTAGAATAGACTTTCCTAATCTGTCAGTGTACACTGCTCAATGGTACAAAGCTGAGGGATTTGGTTTTACCTTCATATCTGCTTGACAGAGAGAAACCATTCTTAGAATGTGGCTTTGCAATAGAATAACATAAATAATTAAATAATTGAGTCAGTGGATGTTTTCTCTGATTTACAAAATTATAAAAAGGTGAGTTACCTCTTAACCAATTCAAGTGCAATGAGATTAGAAGTAATTATTTTATTCTTAAAAATATTGCTTCTCTTTTCTTAATGTGGACAGCTGAGTGATTTTAAGCATTGTGCATACCTCAACATTAACCATGAGTGATTGTGAAAGAGGAAGCAAGAAACCTTACAGAAATGTCTTAAATGTATGCGTCCAAAGATTATAGATCCTTTTTTATTACTTTGCTTATGGATGTATGGCACTGCCATTGCTCCACTTCCACACAGCTAGAGAACAGGAGTACAATATCTCCTTATGATGCTGCAGTTAATGTAACTCAGAAATTCATTACACTGAGTATTAAATAACCCTTTTCCCATATGCAAGCATTTTAAAATACTAGATTTCTGAATATTTTAACACATTGTCCTTGTGGATCTTGCACTTGCAATATCAAGTAGTCAGAAGTGTCTTCTAACCAGAACCAGACTGAAGTTTGAAATCTGTGGTATGTTTAAGATATATAACAGGATACTTTTTCATGTATGCACAGTGTTGTAATAGAATTTTGATGTTCATCCTTGAACTTTCAAGTCCTATGAAGTGTTAAGCTGAATCATACTTTGGGAATTCAAATATATATTTTAAAAAAAGGCCAGAAATTTCAGTTATGATTTTGGTATCAAGCATCTCCTAGACCATGGCAATATGTAAATTACAGAATTTTGTCACTGAAGCTAAAAGGATTGGTCATTGAGCTAAATGGGATCAAGTTAAACTATAGAGCCAAAACGTGTATTTCTATAAGGGCTTCTCTCAAAATATGCTATCTAGTGAGCTGTAAGAGGAGATTAATCAGTACGTGCAATCAAAAACATGGGCATGCACAAAACGACTGTAAGTGGCTCAATGTTTTAAAAATATATTTGTTTCTGTGGTAAAACACACAAGTGGTACCAGATTATGCTGAAGAAGCAGTCTCATAAGTGCTCTTTATAATTTCATTTGCACTGTATTTTTAGAGAACATTTCATGATAGCAAGATAGAACTTTACATTTCTTCTGCAAGCATCATACCTTGCTTAAGAAATAAGTTTCCCTTTCAAGTCTTTTCTTTAGGTTAACACATTTTGAAATGGTGCTTTGTTCAAGATAGGGTTTTTTTTTTTTTAATTCCTGGGTTTAAGCAGTTCCATGTCTGAAAACAGTAATGTTGGAACTGAAACATACATGAAAATGGCTTGACCTTTCCTGCACAGTAAGAAGTAGTAGATACAGTATCTTCTTAGTATCGATTTGTTCTTTGCAAAGGTCATTGACGGGAGACCGTGTGGATGAGTGACATGTGAGCACTGCATCCTGTCCTCCTTAGTGGCACCCATCAGCTTGAAAACCTTGTTTCCAATCTAGGGTGGTTCAGCCCTTTTGCATGCTTGTTTTAGAGCACCATTTGCAATCACTGCTTTTCCTGATCCCACTGCTTAGTGGGACAAGTCTGAAGTACCACAGTTGGAGAAGTCCAGCAAAAGGTCACCGTGCTCACTGCAGTGATGCTGTACATGTAAATGAGAGAGGCATTAGAAGATAATTATGAATAATGGATAGGTTTTTTGGAAGAGTTTAGGCAAGAGGGCTGATCTTTTCCTCGTGGTTCATGAAATTATTTAGGTGTGCAATTAAACAATCCAAGTGTGCCCCAGTGAGTGTCTGATGACCCCGCTGTGGGCTCTATCATGTGCTGAGTGACAGCACAGCAGAGGATTTGGTGCAAACGCTTCTTGGTTTTCCCTCAGCTGCACCTAGCTTTTTGTGCAAAGGACTCCATTTTATAAGCAGTTGTTTCTATGAGTCAATCTATTACTTTTGGAGGGTTTACTCTTTGCAATCCTATGCAAGGTAGTAAAAAGCTTCTGGTCAGGGTAACAGGTCATTTTTGAATGAGTTAGGAGACTGTTTTAAGAACAAGTAAAATCACTTTGTTTTACTTTGGAACTTTGCTCCTGGACTTTCAGCTCTATTTTAATAAATTCATTAATCATTAACTTGATGAGCTGAAGCTTTAGAAAGGAGTTTGCTAATGCCTTCTGTTACTCTTCTGGTAGTCAGCTTTATACCTTCATCTATATGGAGAGTAGCAAATAAAATTGGTACATGCACTGTCATGCTCCCTGACTAATCTTTGTTGCATAGAGAGTCAAGTCTGGAATTCTTCATTTATTGAAAGAAATAAATTCTTCAGTAAAATAAATTAAAAGCTGGAGGTCAAGATTGCTAGTTTATGAACAAAAAGGATTAAATGCTTCTGGGAAATTCTGAGTTTTATTAGTATGGGTGGCTAGAATGTTTTGCATAGAGGTCTGAAAAAGACTGGATGCAACCTTTATTTTTTTTTTTTCTTTCTGATTCAGAAAAGAACCCCTCAGGACTCTGCTTTTATAAAATGTTTGTGACAAAGCAGTTATGGAGACTAAGTTTAAATGAGATCTTTCTGTGCCATTGCTCTCTAGATAACATTCAGAGTAGGGAGAGTGGTACAGGCTTACTTGGATTTAGGCCACTGGTTTAGTTCACATTTTTTTAAATGCACACAGCCTTGATGCCTTCTCAGCTGCTTTTTTGGCAGGGACCCAATGGCCTCTGTTCCCATGGAGAGGTCATTAAAAGGGCACATGAGCTGATGAATGAGATAGTC